CGGCTCATAAGGTGTCACAAAAAATGTTCCCAGATGTAATCCAGGCCTTTATTAAAGGTCCATTCAATTCAGAGGTGCTGATATTTACTTTTCCTTATCTCTCTGTCTGCCGGAGCTCTTTACGCGCAGATGAAAAGCAACTGCCAGATACGAACACGCGCGTACAACACAACACAGAGTCCTGCAGCCTCTCCATGAGCGCACTACTTATAGGTTTTGCGCGCACCCGGCAGAATAAGGGGAGGGGTCGAGAGGAGCCACTTCTCTTAAAGAGATATATTCCTTCGCTTGCTTGTTTTGCCTCACGCTGATTGTACCGTTAGCTTTATTGTTGCCTTTTAAAATAGCATCATGCAGACTTTACGCACGAAGTAAGACTCCAGATGGGTTTTATTAGTAGTAAATATCCCTCAAAAATTCCCATTTTCAACAAGGAAATCATCTCCCGTGATTCTTTTAACGTCTACGTTAAAAAGTTAGTCTTTTTACGCACGAAATTTTAGAGGGATGGTTTAAAAATCTAAATTATTTTAATAGTTTCAACTTTTTTAATACACATTGAGTATTTCACGGTTTGAACCGACTTTAATTAATTATCTTCTGACATAAAAAATAAATACATTTTAAAAAGACGTGTGCACCTTTTTACGCGCTTCTATATAAAACATAACAGACTCACGGAGCCCACCAATGAAGATAAAACTTTACCTGCGCGTTGTCAGTTTTAGTTCGGGATTTCCAAAGCATGATGGCGCTCGGGCTGTACGTCTGGCTGCAGCTGAGGGGTTAGAGATGGATGGAGAGGAGAAGAGAGAAGACAGGCTGAAGGTGCAGAGGGGAGTGAGTTACTTTGAGAGACGATGCAGTAGTTTGTATGGATGAGTCAGAGAATAGAGCCGGGTGTGAGGAAGGGGGGGTGCTAGAAAAAACACAAAAGAGGGCGGTAGGTGACACGAGTCGAGGAGGGGGGCAACTGAAAACTTTTGTCACGGTTGGTGTGAGGACCATAGGATCAGCGGTGGAGGGGTTAAACATAGCTGATTGGTGATGATGGCCTGACAAATTATTAACCTAATCAAAAATTCACTTTAATATTTAGAAATATTCCAGAACGCAAAAAAAATAAATTTTCCCCGCATTTCTGAGTAAGTCTAACATCCACTACAGCATTTAATTCTTGTTGCTAGATGACTGATATGCACCAGATTTAAGACTTTCAGCATCCAGTAAAACGATGTCATAACTAAACACTTTGTTCTCTGTGCTGATGTTTTTTCACATATTTTTGTTTTATTAATAGCTTCACTATAATTTAATTACCAGCCTAATAACTGAAATAACTAAAACTCTGGAAATGTGGATAACGGAAGAAGTTTGCTAGTAAACAAGAACTTCACCACACCTTAAGTGTCATTGCGCCATCTAGTGGAAACCGACTGAATGTCGGTTCAGTGAAATAGTTAAGGAAAATATGCTTGGTATAAATGTACACCAGCCCAGTTCGCATTACACTGAACGTTTGATATACTTAAATTACAAGATTCTAATCAAACGATATAAATTAAGCATTATTTTTAAGTAAAGTTCATGTAATAACCAATGCAGTAATATGACCTTTGAACAGGAAATTTAAATGCTCAAATCCAACCTCATAATGCAGACCTGCATCATATTT